AGCCATTTTTTCTGGTCTTTTTCAATTGTCTTTTGCAGAAATTAGAAACTGAGTTTTCCTGAGCAACATTTAATCCTTATATTTAGATTTCTATTTCAGAAAAATATATGGAAACTATATTATTGAACAGGATTTTGGAGCTCAGTGTTCTGTAGTAGTTTTTACAGAACGTGCCATCTGGCAGCAGATTGAGTAGACTTTATCTTATATTTCTGCAAATTGGCACTTTTTAAGAGGCTGAGCATTGGTATTTAATGTTTGTGAAAAGTCTACTAAAAATGTATTAAAAAAAACCCAAACCAAAACCCAATCCCCCAACCCAAAAATCTCCCACAAGAGTCCAAGAGTATTATAGTATTGATTGCTTAATCAGAAATAAAGCTGTACTGTACAGTCTTAAAGTGATATTTTACTTTGTTCTTACTGTCATCACCAGTATGGACAAGATCCTATTCTGCTGTGATAACTCTTGAGTCAATAAGGACTTTCTTCTTTGTAAGTTAAAAGTTGGGGGGAAGATTTCAAAATGTGGCTTCGCTTCCTTTCAGGAATTTTGAAATGTTTTGAGAAAGGAAATGGAGCCTTGTTTTCAACATAGGCAAACTGGTGGACTGTCACCAGCATGGGAAGGTCTGAGGTACTATTTCAAGGGGGATTGCAAATGAAGCCTGCTCAGAGTCCGCCACATACCCTTGAAGCCTGCATTCTCTATCAAATTGTTAGATTTGGGCAAATTAAATGGTAAGATGTGAGAGACATCAATGGTAAACTGTGAGAGACTTCACAGTTTACTTTCTTCAATGTCAGCGAATTAATCTAGCTTCTGGAAATATTTTGATAAACTGTGAACTCTGGTAAATGTCTTTCTGGAATTTTACTGACTAGCCCAGCATCTGCCATTCTTGGCAATAAACGTTTACCTTTTGCTTGCAGTTTTTGTAGTGCTCTGATTGCTTTCCAGTATAGAAATGGTGTGGCTGAACAAGATGTAGTATTCAAAGTGAATAAGTTGGCAGGAGTGCATTACCAGCAGAAAACTAATGTGGATATATAGTGGAGTAATGGATGCTCAGTGGTTTTCTAACTTGCCTTTTAACTGTAATGTTGTCTGGCTATAGCTTTATTTCAAATTCTGTAACAAGAAATGGCTAGGTTTTTAAAAATTGTATGTTGTTATGAACTGTAATATAACCCACTTGCGTCTACACTGGGGAAAGGTGAACTTTTAAAATTCAAAAGCTACCTGAAAGATCTACAAAACTAGTTTGTTCTTGTCTAAAGGTACAAGAAACCAGAGGAGCGGAGTCCTTTGATAGCTGCAATGCAACATTTTCTACCAGTTCTAAAGGACAGTTTCATTCAGCTCTTGAGTGATCCATCTGATCAGTCTGTCCTCATACAGAAACAGATCTTCAAAATATTTTATGCCCTTGTCCAGGTAAAAAATAAACTTTGTATATACTTGATCAGTAATTTAATTTAAAGCATTATGCTTTTCCTTAAAATAGTAAATGACAGAAATATTAACAATATTAGATTATATCCGAATCATTTCCCCTACTACTCAACTGTGGTATGAATCACAGGTTTTTGGTATGCTTGATTGTGCTGTACTTCTACTTTTGTACAGTGCTATTCCTGGTTGGCATTAGATAGAACTTATGCATGCCATCCTCTAAGGTAGAATGTTTGCTAGAAAACGATTAGAAAATCAGTTTTCTAATGACAGATTGTAGAGGCCAGACTACATAGAATTACCAGTGTAATGCAGCAGTTTGAAATTAAACTGTTAGTATGTTGTTAATTGCTTCAGAAATTAGTGTAACATCCATTTAAGTAGCGTCTTAGCATTGCATAAGCAGAATGAATTGGAGTAAAGACCTTCACCTTTGAGGATATTGAGGATATAGACTAGGTTGTGTTAAGTTCTTTAGCCTGGTTTTCCGAGTCATTTGCTAATCTTTCATGGTAGCTAAGTATAGACAAAGATTTGAAAGAGCTAAAATTCAAACTGTGAAAGTAACATTATTTTCAAATTGCTTTACAATAAATTTATTTTGCCTTTTTTTTTTTACATAAGTACACATTACCTTTGGAGTTGATAAATCAGCAAAACCTGACTGAATGGATAGAAATCCTGAAGACTGTTGTCGATAGGGATGTACCAGCTGTAAGTGGCTTTTGGCTATTTATGTTTTTAAGCTTTAATATTTTTCATTCATTAGAATGTTAAAAAGTTTAACTTTTTATTTCTGCATTCTTTTTTCTCAGTAGATGCCAAGAAAATAAATTTTTAAGCTAAATAGGGTGTTTTAAACAGACATGACAAATTTTGAAAATATGTAGCTTGTATGGGAGTTCCGTTTTCAAATTATAGCACAACTTATTTTGGCTTCTTGTTTCAAGAATGTGTTGACCATTTATGCAGCATATGTATGGGATTTATTTTTAGATATGCTGTACTTTATACTTCTATTAAGGTAGAAGTGCAAATGGTAGGTTAAAAGCAAAATATGCTATATAATTGTTCAAAATACATATAATTTGAACTCTTTGTGAATAGTTGGTAAATAATCTTTCTTCCCCCCCCCCCCCCCCCCCCCCCCACACCCCCCCCCACACCAACAGAAGATGACAGACCTGAGTTGCCTTGGTGGAAATGCAAGAAGTGGGCTTTGCATATCTTAGCTAGACTTTTTGAGAGGTATTTTCTCTACCATTATTATTTAAAAAAAAACCCCAAATATTTAAGTCAATAATATTGCTGCACCCTTGAATTTGCATACTTGCTTCTAATTGTAGGTATGGAAGCCCTGGTAATGTTTCCAAGGAGTACAATGAGTTTGCTGAAGTGTTCCTGAAGGCATTCGCTGTTGGTGTTCAGCAAGTAAGAAACACTGAATGTGAGGTTATTAGGATAAGTTTAGAGTTAGTAGTGATTTCTTATTTCATTACTTTCTGAAAAGGCTTCTTGCTCTTCTTCACAATTGGGGTTTTTTTAAGCACATTGGTATGGAAAGCACTGATGTCTATGGGTTAAAAGAAAAGAATGATTAAAAAAAATTATGAATTTGCCACGTAGGGCAATCCACTGAAAATAGCCTATGCAGCATTGATAATCTGTAAATAGAGTAAATGCTCTCATATAATAAGCCCTCAGATGAGCTTCAGATAAATGCTATCATTTTTTCTTTTTCTGGAGGAGATAGGTATAATATTTATGTGGTGTAGTTGACCTTACCTACCCTTTTAACTCTGATGATATAGTTCTTCTTTGACTCTATCAGTAAATACTAAGCTTTCTAGCCTTCTGCAAAAGCCTGATCAAGCAGAGGCTCACTTACAAACAGGTAAGTCTGATGGTCACTTTCCACTCATCTCCCTGTCTGGGGGTTGCCACTTCTACAGAGTCTGTTATACACAAAGCATCTTCTGGACTATAGCAGTTTCTAACCTGATGCATTAATGTTATGCCAAACTATCCTTGATTTACCTTTATTGGAGTAACTTCATGATTCAGATAGTCCTACCACATGGCAGCAACCTACAGGTTTTCCTGAAGGGACAGTATGGATTGGTGGGCACGTTTTCTTTTGAAACAAGTTTATTTATAAAAAAACTAAAAGTAGTTTTTGTGAAATTTTCTTGTATTGGTAGTTTATTATACATTGGAGCCTCCTCAGCACACGTCACCTCCTCCTCTGGCGATATTCCAAAATCTTTGCCTTCTGGCCAGTCCATAATCAATTCCAAGATTCCTGGACGACTGAGGTTTCCTATTCAAGCCTGTTGTGTGATCAGTGCGACCCACTTACTCCACGTAGCATCAGTTGCATGATGTGTACAGGGGATCCTCCCTCTGAACATCCAGCCCAGCACCAGCAGTTGGGGTGCCAGGAGGAGCTGTGCTTCAGTGCTGATCACTTCCGAAGCAGCTCAAACCCCTTCATATGCTGCCAATACCTCTTTTTCAGTTGGAGTATAGCGGGCCTCGGATCCTCTGTATCCCCGATTCCAAAACCCTAGGGGTCGACCTTGAGCCTCCCCTGGTGCTTTCTGCCAGAGGCTCCAGGTAGGGCCGTTCTCCCCAGCTGTGGTGTAGAGCACATTTTTTACATCTTGTCCTGCCCGGACTGGCCCAAGGGCTACTGCATGAACTATCTCCTCTTTAATTTGTTCAAAAGCTTGTCGTTGCTCAGGGCCCCATTTGAAATCGTTCTTCTTCCGGGTCACTTGATAGAGAGGGTTTACGATCAGACTGTAATTTGGAATATGCATTCTCCAAAAACCCACAATGCCTAAGAAAGCTTGTGTTTCCTTTTTGCTAGTTGGTGGAGGCATGGCTGGGTTTTTTTTTATCACATCCATTGGGAATTTTTGTAAAATTTCCTTGTATTGGCTCATAAATCTGTTTACACTAATGTGATTAGGTTATAAATGTAAATAGACTATTAATTATGAAAATCTCAGGGAGTGGAATGTTTTCTTCAAAGCCTTTATTTTGATAAGGAGAAAAACAGTTCTTAGTTTAGTTTCAGTTTTCTTAGTTTTTCATTCCTAATGAAATTATAATGAATTACAGGACTTTAAAAGAGGAAAAGTATCTCCTAAATACATGTTTTTTGAAGGTCATCCAAAGTATTTAAAGGGAAAAGAATATTTGTCACATTGAGTGTTAGGAAATACATCCCAACATTCTACTCAGACAAGTGGAGTCAGTGTCGCCTTCTGAGGTGCTCATCTGTCACCTGTAGATGACATCAGACAGATAATTATTACATGCTCTTTAAGACCTTACTGGTTGCTTTGCACTTCCAAGATAAAATGAAGTTCTGACAAAAGATTGTATGGGCAAAAGAAGTCTTTGAAAAGATAAATTTAAACAGCTCAGCAAAACACTTTGGTGTTTTTCTTTACCTTTTCTTTGAATCAAATTTGGTCCTTACTGTTATTGCATCTAGGAAACACCAAGAATTCAAGTCTTTCAAGAAAATTGCTAAAAAGCAAGACTTTAAAATGCTTACAGTTTCTTCCTATGCAATAATGTAACTTGTTTAGAAATACAGGTTATTCTTAAGATGCTGTCCTTTATTTCTGTGCAGAAGGTAAATCTTGGATGTATGCTCAAGAAATTGAATCCTTCAGATAAATGTTCCGGAACATTTTTGAACAGGATGTATTTCTTTACAAAAATTGGAAATCTGTGAAATAGTAAAGAATACAAATTCTGATAATAGCTTCACTGAGTTCTCTTTACTCTCCAAAGTATATGCACCCTTTTACATAAGAAGTAATAGATAAATATATGGTATGGGATTACAGGTTGTTCAAGTATAAACTTGAAACATACTGCTAATATTATTCTCATAATTACTTCTCATTGATTATTCTTTTTATCTACTCTATATCTTTGTCACATGCATGTCACCATCCAAAAAAAAAAAAAATTCCAGTACATTTAGCATTAGTTCTAGCTAAACTTAAGTTTGGCTAAAACAGGCTGAGCTGCCTAGCTGGAATACCTTGATATTTATCCCTTGTGTTAGCAGCTGTTTTGCTCAAGACATTTCTCATTTTGAAAGACCTGATGAGCCAGAACGAAGCCCTGATTGAACACTACTGCCTGGTTGTTCCTTGGCATAGTTGCAGAATTTTCTTTATTCACCCTGGAGCCTCCATCCCACATCCTGCTTTTCCTCACTGCAGTTCTTAAACCTTTTCTTCATCTTGTTAATGTTGTTACTTATTGCATCTGAATAATGAAACTGCTTAGATTTGTGAAAAGAGAGGACCAAAACACTTGTCTTAAGTAGCATGGCTGCAAAGACCATTTGTTAGGCCTCAGCTTTGTCCTTATTTCCAAAGACTATTCCACATCCCTTCACTGACTATTAATGAATTTAGGCTTTTCTGTGTGCTGTCCTGTTACATTGGAGAATCTCTCTCAAAAAAAAGAAACTTCAGATCCTTCTAAAATTCAAACACACCAGCAAACTGGACCTTCTTGTATAAGCTTTTCCACAGAGACAATTGTATTGCTGTATGTTAAGTTCTAGTTTGCTGAACACCCAGGATTACTACTTTTGCCTAGAACAAAGAACCCCTAATTTATATTTTTTTAAAATCTTTCCTGAGCTGCCACCATGGTGTGACTTAGGCCATGGAGCCTGTCCCAGATCCATGCGTTATAAAAGTTCAGTACATGATGTTAATACAGCGATGGTCATTTCTTTGTTGCTTGTGTTGAAATTCATAAAGGAAGCCAGTCTTTAGAATGTCATGTACTCTTGTGTAAAACGCGAGAAACCCCAGTCTTCATTAGTTTCCCAATTCTGGAAAGACTGTATTTAAGGCATACCATCAAGGAAGTAAAATATGTTGCAGAGTTGTTTGTTCAATAAATTTTGTTACCAGTTTGTTAGACTCTTTTTAATGATAAACATTCTTCTTAATTGTTCTAACTTCAAGAAGCATGTTAGTACTCATGTATTCGTGTTTTACTGATTTTGGAAGTGGAAACGTGTCACTTAAGGTATTGTTTTTGCAGAGAATAATTTTCTCTTTTAGTTAGTTCACAAGAGACTAAAAAAGAATTTTGACATGTGTTCTTTGATAATCCTCAAAACAGCTGCAAGTCTGAACATTTGCTCTCTTTTCCTTTCCTATCCTAAGTCAATATCTAATGCCACCAAAGCCTTGTACTCAAGTGAGGGTAACAACCAGTAATTTCTTTAAGTGCAGGAGGCTTTTAAACATGACCAGTTAAATTCTGAGGACTGATAATGCATCTAGAGCATAAAACCATTTGTAAAGCTGTGAATTTCATGGTGAATGAATGCATCCTCTTTAAACTCAAGTGTGAGGCATCTCCTTTGGGAGAAATGCTTCAGTGCTTGTGTAATAAATGTTTTCAATGGAATTACTTTTCAAAATAATGAATTTCATTTTCCCAAAATGTTTTTCTTGGTGATATTACAGATTGATAGGTGTCTTTTCAGTTCCTTCAATTTTGGATTTTTTTTAAAAGTTGTTGTTTTCTGTGAAGAATTAAATGAAGCCCTGGAAATGGGATTTGTCATTTCTCTCCAGTTGGTGCTGCTGCTCTTGAAGGTGCAGTGTTGCCACTGACCTGGATTGGACTACAAGGAAATGCCCTTGTATTACCAATACCAAACTTTCCAGTGAGCTGGGATTTAATTACTAGTAACGGTTCCATGTCCGCTTCATGTCCTTATTCGTGGAGAGCCATGGAATTTAACAAACGTAAATCCCTGTGAATAGTTCTAAACGTCACCTCAGGAGAAGAATTGAGGCCAGAAAGCCAAGGGGAGAGGCTGGTTCATCATTCTTCATACACATACATTCTTCCTACAGTGTCATTGCTGTAAGGCTGCACAAAGGCAAGGATCAGTAGACTGTGTGAGCATGGAGTATTTTACCAATCCAGTGTTTGGGCATGAATTTCTGTCCCCAAAGAGTGGCAAGATGGAATAATAAGCCTCAGAGGGAAAGGTCCCCTAGGCTATGTTGGTGATGAATTAACATGTGTGTTTTGTCTTATTAAAGGATTGTATTTTTAAAAGATGTGCAGCACCTGATATGAGCTGCAAATTGCCTTACAAAATTAACAATGACATTTAGTAGAAGGATTAGTCAGTACCCATTTTAGTCTAATGAATAAACAGGGTTTTTTTGTTGGATTTAGAGGGTTCTTATGTAGGACTAGGGGGGTAGAAGTCTTCTGGTTAAAATGGTCTGTGCTCAGTATAAGCTGTTGATGAGATCTGATTTTTCTAGGTGTTGCTGAAGGTGTTGTATCAATACAAGGAAAAGCAGTACATGGCTCCTAGAGTTCTACAGCAAACTCTGAATTACATCAATCAAGGAGTGTCACATGCAGTCACCTGGAAGAATCTGAAACCTCATATTCAAGTAAACCATTTTTGGGATTTAATACTTAGATGACTCAGTAGTACATTAGTCAGTCTGTTGTACGGTGTTTCTAGCCTTGCTCTAGAACTCAGTTTTTAGGGACCTCTGTTATAAATGGCTGGTGGAAAGAGTTTAAGCCTGTTTGGTGAAGGTTACCTTGATACATGAGCAAAGCTAGCTAATTGCTTTTTTTGCTGTCAGTCCTTTGTGCTTTAATATATTAAGGATTACAGTGTAACACAGCAACACAACAAATTTGGAGATGGTGTTAACTACTGAATTTATGGCATTGAATCATTTCCACATACCATTATCCAAAGCAAATCTTATAGCTTGCGCTGTATTGTACCTCTACCTTAAGTTCAAAGATCTCTTTTTTTGTAAGGTAGCACATAAAATCTACTATGTCCAAATAGTTTTAGAATGTTACCATTTTATATGAGAAGTGACAGGATGGACAAAATCTGTGAAATACAGGGCAGAATATGGAGAATGATTTAGTAGTGCTAGCCTTTCAACTTTTTTTTTATTGCAGGGAATTATCCAAGATGTTATTTTTCCATTGATGTGCTATACAGATGCTGATGAAGAGCTTTGGCAAGAAGATCCATATGAATATATTCGCATGAAATTTGGTGAGAATTTGAAATCTACTGATGTTAAAATATGACTTCACACAAAGATGGGATTTTTATAGTTTTTTGTGAAAATAGAGATGGCTTTAATCTTAAAAGAAAGTTTGTATTATCCACATAATATAACTTCATATAGGTAACTTTTAGATATACTGGTGGAAATGATAGATAACTTGACAGTCAACAATGACACAGGTGTTTCTGCACTTGAAAAAGTAGCTAACTTTGACAGTTACAAAGCTTTTGTTATAAGTCAAACAGTCCAGGTCTTGCTAACAATAATTACGTAAGTTTAATGTTATTAAAAGTTTATGCTTTACAACAGCTAATATTTCAGGCCCTGGAGTTTTTACGATCTTAAGGAATTTCACACATGGCTCAGTTCAGAACAGATTTACCGTAATGGTAAATGAAACATTATGAAGTAAGGCTAGCATTCCAGACTTGTCTAATTTCACCTCCTGTGGCTGGCTACTTTGTTGTTGGGGTTTACTATAAGTCTATGCAGTCCTTTCAGGCTGGGGAAGGAAGAAGATAGTTCAGACTTGCTGAACAAATTCTTCCCTCCACTAGGACTTTTATGTGGCTAGAACAAGGAATCTTGATGGGTTTGGGATTTTCTTATCCCTCAGGTCAGGCAGACCTGTAAACAGTAGAGATATTATACAAGGCTCTGATAATCTTCTGCAGAGAAATAAGAAACTGAGCATTTTAACTCAATCAATTATGTGTGCTTGCCTGTACAGCAAATAACATATACATCAAAAATTGACCGCTGTGTCTGCTTCTACTGTTACAAAAGATTTATCTTAAAAATAAGGAAGACATAAAATTTCAAATCGGACATGTAGAGCCAGTGATCACGAAAAAGGTGGAACATATGTATCGGGAATCTCCAACCATGTGTTACTGTTGTTTGGTCTTAGAATATCTGTAGTAAGAAAGCATGATTAACCACCTGAAAAAAAAAAGGAAAATTGTTGCTCTTTTGTTTCATATTAAATCATTAGGTTACATTAGGATCATGAACTGTAGTAAAGGACCAAAATTTATAGCTGTTATGTTTACTTAATAGATATATTTGAAGACTTCATTTCTCCAACAACTGCTGCTCAGACTTTATTGTTTACATCATGTAGTAAAAGGAAAGAGGTAAGCTATTCAAGGATTTTACTTAAATACAATGTTAGCTAGATTTAGTTTATAGTCTCCACTTGCTGAAAGAACTACTAATAAAAGTTTCACTTTTCTGCTCTCTGTCATAGTACACTAAAATTTATCATTTCTCTCAAATTTATTTTGCACGGGTCTATTTGTGATTTTTGTATTTGCCAATTCCCCTAGGACCTATCTATCAAGAATGTTGTGTGATTATAACAAAGACATAAAACATTATCCAAATTCCAGACTTAGAGCAGATTATTAGAGATTTAAGCATTTCACATCACTGAGAATGGTACCTGAGACCATTGATTGAAATACTTTGACTAACCTTACATGTAATCTAGGTCTTGCAGAAGACAATGGGCTTTTGTTATCAGATCCTTACGGAGCCAAATGCTGACCCTCGTAAGAAAGATGGTGCTTTACATATGATCGGTTCTTTGGCTGAAATTCTCCTAAAAGTAAGCATAACAGATCTGGTGGTTCTTTCGGTTCTTTTTTTTTCCCTCCTTTGCTTTCTTTCACATATAGTGTCTTAGAAGAAATGAGAATAGCTCTTTGAGTTTACAAGTTTTTGAATCATTGCCAGTTTTTTTTAAAGCTGTTGAACTTAATTGTTTTGGTTTTGTTGTCAGTTTAATCACACAAGTTTTATTAGGTCATGTTCAAGTTCAGATTATTGTTTTAAGTTCCTTTAAGTTCTCTGCTTCTAGTAAGAATTGCTACACCATTTCCTGCGCTACACTTAACTACGTTCACTGTTTTTGTGGAAGGAAGGAAAAAAAAAATCCATCCAGTGAGAGGCTGGTGATTTAACAAGATCTTTTCTGTGTATAGAAGAGAGGAAATAAAGTGAAATTAGCAATCTTGTTCAATTAGAATGGTAGCAAAAAAGATGCAGGGCATGGACTTGTATTTGGACCATAGCTCTGAGAAATTTCCCTGACTGCTCTTGCTTTTGATACCAGAGTAATGTACTGCCAAGCAAAAGGTGTCTCTAGGAGTCAAAAAGTGACAGGAAAAGTGTCACTATTTTGACTGAAAATTATAAAAGTCCATATAGGATCCAAGTTTAATTACTAATATGGGATTTCATTGTTGCTTAATGGACTTTAATAAAGGGGGAAGTTAAAAGTCTGAGGGTTCTGTTATGCTGTTCACACTTTTATATGTGACTTTTTTTACTGGATTAGAAATGCATTTTTATATAAAGTTTTAAACTGATGTGTTTCTATTCATATTCTGACAGAAGAAGATATATAAAGATCAGATGGAATATATGTTGCAGAATCATGTGTTCCCTCTTTTCAGCAGTGAGCTGGGTTACATGAGAGCACGGGTAAGAAAGTGTAAGATTTACTGTTAGGATACACTGTCTGTTCCAGAAGAAGAGTTCAGGAATATTCTTTAAATTTTTCCCTCTAACAAATGCACTCCTTTCTGCACCTTTTCTGTAATAAATTGTATGCTTATTTCAGAGATTAGTAGCAGTCTTTGTGTGATTATAGCTAGCTACTGTGTAGTTTTAAAATGGCTGCAGAATTGTGTGCATAGTTTTCCATCTGTGTCTGGTGGTATGGTCTATTTGTGTTTTGCATTTAGACTGTACTGCTCACATAAAACCTGTGGCCAAAGATGAACTTGAGATCATAGTACTGGTCTAGTGATGTCTGAAAGACAAGCCTCCCACTGGCCAGCCTCCACACTCTCAAACATCTTCACCTGTTAAAAAGTTTTACAGTATCTTTATTCAACAGTAGTTGTATTCAGATTTAATAATTTGTGTAGGTTATGGGTATATGAGTAGTCGATAATCCTGTTTGTAGGTTTTGTAACTCTGAATTTGTTCAATTCTTTCAGGCTTGTTGGGTTCTTCATTATTTTTGTGAAGTCAAATTTAAGAGTGACCAGAATCTCCAGACAGCCTTAGAACTCACAAGACGGTGTCTGATAGATGATAGGGAAATGCCTGTGAAAGTGGAAGCTGCAATAGCACTTCAAGTTCTGATCAGTAATCAAGAGAAAGGTAGCCCTCTTTTCTTCAAGCTACAGCAAGCTTTAATGGAATAGGCATTAATACTGCAATGTTCAGGGAGACTTATTCTGTTCTTTCCTGATGTTAATTTACTTCTTGCAATTGTAATTTGTAATCACTTACTGTAATTTTCCAGCTGGAAAATTTTATATTTTTTATAAATAACATTATCACAATTTCATGGTACAATAAATCCAGTTCTAGAGCGCCTAGTCATTGAATCAGAGATACAGTGGCAATATAAGCATATCTGTCTCAGCATACATTCATTCATGTTAAAATTCATTTTTTTAAAAAAGTTGTCTTTATCCTGGCAGGCTTAGTATTCCTGAAGCTAGCATAAAAGCCATAAAGCAAACATAAGTTATTCCTGAAGCTAGCATAAAAGCCACAAAGCAAACATAAGTTCTATATCAAATAATTTGGCTAATTTTGACAAAATGCATATGTACCCATTCCTGTTCAATTAAAATTTGCATTGATGGGTCATCTTGCATTCCATAAAGACTGTAGAACTCTGGTTTTCATACTTCAGTTGTGATCCTCTTGGTACACATTTTTATTAAAAAATTGTTCTGAATGTTAGTATTGCTATAATGATTTATACTACCTATGGTTTTGGCATATTAATGCCAAAGCACTGAATATTAATAAAGTATATATTGACTTTCTTATGCTGATACTGTAGTTTTGTAAGAATGTCGATTCAAGTATTTCCACTTGTTTTACAGCTAAAGAATATATTACTCCATTCATTAGACCTGTAATGCAAGCTTTACTTCATATTATAAGAGAGACTGAAAATGATGATCTTACTAATGTGATTCAGAAGATGATCTGTGAATATAGTGAAGAAGTTACCCCAATTGCAGTAGAAATGACACAGCATTTGGTAAGACTTTCTGGTGACTTAGGAAGATGCTTAATATGTGAAAGATTGGTATTTAAAATTAAGATAGTTATCCATCAATCAATAGCTGTTGTTACTCCAGTCTGCTTAAGTGCATTGATACAAGTAATTTTCTTCTACATTTAGACTGTTTTTTCTCAAAAGTAGCTTCATAACTTGAACTAAATGGAAATTTCTAAGAACAATTGTAGAAAACTTTGTACGTATTTTCTCCTGATAGTGTTAGTAATGAATTTTGGTAGCACATTTTAGGTAGTCTCTACAATGTGACTTAGCTTTTCTGTTTTAAAATGGGAAATTAAAGAGCAGATTTTTAATAAAAAATTTGGTGTGAAAATAATGTTATGTTGTATGTAATGTGAAAATAAAGTTGAATCTGCAGGAGAAATTCAGAGCTTAAATGGCCATACCTAGCAAGTTGTACTAATGGTTTCAAAAGCAGAGGTCAGCTCAGTGCTTCCCTATTAAAGGCGTTTGCCTTGGAGTGAAAACTAAATTGCACGTCCTCTCTAGGAATGCCTGCAAAGTGGTCCAGGCTAGTTCAGCTACCAATTAAACCTTGTGTCAGGAAAAACTTACTCGTAGAAAATGTGTTCTTTTGCATGGAAAGTAATGTCATTTTATCTTTTTATTCATGACTGGATAAAGGATAACAGCTCAAATGGCTTAACATGCAAATTTTATCAATCTTGAAAACAAACTCTGGAATGGAGCAGTGACCTAATATTCACACACGTTTTCTTAGCAGAAGTCCTCCTTAAATTGTGCAGAATACCAGACTTGCACAATTGTTCTTCATCTCCAAGCACGTCCTCATTAAATGACATATTTATGGGTTGTTTTGCTATTACATGCAGGCAATGACATTTAACCAGGTGATCCAGACTGGACCAGATGAAGAGGGCAGTGATGACAAAGCAGTGACAGCAATGGGAATCTTGAATACTATTGATACGCTTCTCAGTGTAGTTGAAGATCACAAGGAAGTAAGTAAAAATTACTCTAAAGCTAATATGTATTGTCTAAGACACTGCAAGTCTTTTGTAGTTCCAGTGTTCCTGACATGGTTATCTGAAAAACTGTCCTTTCAGCCAAAAATATCTTAAAACAGAAAACAGTATCATGCAACAAGGCTGTAACCGAGTGGGTCACATTTCTAACACAATATGTGTAGTAATAGAGCATAAATATTGCCACAGTGTTTCCCATAAGAATCCAGGTTCTTGTTCAAATAGGTGGAAGCAACTTGTCTTCTAGTGGATGGAACTCTGTCAGCTCAGCTAGAAAAACCCATCTGATTTGATGAGGTCTGCCCTTCAAAGAAAATAAATAAAACTTCAGTTAGCTTTGAACATTGACTCTGCTGACTTAGTTTGCTCTCTGCAACAGAATCAACGTCTGTAAATACAGCTGTTGTGGCTATGCTAAGTAATAGGGTTTTTTACCTGCCTAATCTGCACAGTAGAATTCTCCAGTGTGATGAAAACTTCTGTTATTTAGTTTTGTTGTACTGAATGGACTAACTTCTGTCCAGAGTACAGCTTGTTCAAAAGATGCTATTGCTGATTAAAATCGTTCTTGACAAAGTCAGCCACTGTTGTTTGATAAATACATTATAGTTTTTTTTTAGTGACTAAACAGTTCAGTAATAAATCGTACTCTCAGGGTTCTGAAGACTTTACTAAGGAAGCAGCATAATAGGAATTCTGAATGCCCAAGGGTGGAATCCAGTGCTGCCATGCAATAAACCAAGTTCGGCTCATTTACTTGTTGCTAAAGCTGCTCGGCAAGCTTTTCATGTACTTGTTTTTGTCAGCAAATTCTTGCTATCTATAGTTTGTGTAACAATATGCTAGTCCTGAGGAACTCAATTGTAAAATGTTGATCAGTAAACATTTATATTTAGAGACATCTCACACAGGATGACCAGTGTTCCATGATAAGGTATTTAGCTGGTTAGTTTCAAATCCTGTCCTGCATAGCTAAGACCAGAAACTCAACCCTTATTTGTCCCTATGCAAGGTAAGTGCCCTAAACAGGTTAATGACTGTTTTGTTAGCTGTTCTATGGACTAATAAATAGTAATTGGGAAGAACGTCTGAATCTGTAGACCAGCATTTAGACTGATTATCCACATACCATATGAACATCCTAAGCTAGGCTTGGGAGATGGTTTGGTATTTGTTTTTGGTTTTGTTTTTTGAAATTTCACTTTTCTGGAACAGCACATACTTTCTGCAACTTCCATTGCTTACCCCTTTGATATATACATTTACTTACTGTGTTTTAATGGGACTGAACTGTTGCATAGGGTTACTGTCAGGCTGTTCTTTCTAAAGGATACCCTATAATGAGATTCTTCCAATATTCAAAGAATATTCCAAAACCACCTCGTATTAAAAGCTATCTTACAAATCCTTAGCTGAGTGCTGCTTTTATATCTTAAGTGCTGTAAAACACGAGAAATTTTGAATTGTTTTCAGAAGACTATATTGTATAAACTGCCTTAAGTAATTTTACTGTAAAATGTGTTTCATTTAATCTCCAAAACAGTCATAAATCTCCTTTTTTCAGATTACCCAGCAGCTGGAAGGGATCTGTTTGCAAGTGATTGGCACAGTTTTGCAGCAGCATGTATTAGGTATCTGTACTTTTGTTGGCTTATTTTTTAAGCGTATGGGATTGGCATTAAATTTACCTAGATTCTGTTTGTTTTAGAGTTCTATGAGGAGATCTTTTCCTTGGCTCATAGTCTGACCTGTCAACAAGTTTCTGCACAAATGTGGCAGCTTCTTCCTCTTGTTTTTGAAGTCTTTCAGCAGGATGGCTTTGATTATTTTACTGGTAAGTAATACAAATAAATCAGAAAGCCAAATGGTTTCATATATGTGATTTCAACCATACAATTGCATCTTGACTGAAATGTTAGGAGAACACTAAGGTGAGGTTATGTTTGAAGTATTTTATTCTGCTGTTGCTGCAACCAGACTTGTTTTGCTAAGGCATCTATGACTAGATGCACGCTTATCTTGACAAACGTTAAGCAAGAACTGTAATTAACTTACTAATACATAGATTTCAACCTGATTTTAACAGCTTGTCTAATAAAACATGCAAACAATATCTAACTGTGATCATTCTTTTAATACAGACATGATGCCTCTCTTGCATAATTATGTTACTGTTGATACAGATACACTTCTGTCAGACACGAAATATCTTGAAATGATCTACAGTATGTGCAAGAAGGTAAGTAGATTCCTTTGTGATAGCAAAACCTGTGATCTCTGAAGTAATACACTGTTAAACTGGGTACTTTTTTCCACAACAGCAGACTGAAACTGAAGAATTTTGATGTCTGCTCTTAAAGCATTATGCTATTTCACATCCTCTGCGATTGCACAAATTATTATGTTATTGCAGAGAAATTTAAAGAGGTTGCATCAAATTTCAGATATATGCTTTTGCTAAAAGGGAAAAGTAAATCATACACAACAAAAGCAGATTAAACAACCCAGGTTTTTGTGCATGCGTGTTTTGTGTAATACACTTTGTGCGTGCAAAACCCGCATATGCATATTGCAAAAGGTAGATGGTTTCTTTTATCTGAGATTTGTAGCCTCACTATGGCTAGGATACCACATACCATACATATGCTAAAGGCCTTAAATCTATTAGCTAAAACAAGTGGAGTAGGGAGGGAAAGTAGAGGGATAGGAATAGGAAGTTATTTTCCCAAGTTCATGTCAAGGCAGTGATGAAAGCTGGGAGCAGACTGCAGTTGTTTTGACTCAGTCCAGTCACTTTTGGGCAGTGTTTCTGTATTTAACTTAGCTTATCAGCTCCTGTGTATTATAGGTAGCTACCAACTGGGCTTTCTTTATCCAATCAATATGTAGAATACAAAGCTTTCCAGAATGTTAGCCCTATGTGAGGAAATGAACACTTCTTTATAAGATGGTGTTAATATTTTATAATCTCTAATAGTAATCTGTGGGGATTTCAGTTTTCCCCTTCTGGATATCGTGTGTTGTGTCTATATAAGAACTATGGTGAACTGTCAGCTGCCCTGCCCATGGTATTTTCTGAGTAATTCTTTTGAAGATGTTTAAATATTATAGTGAATAACTCTTGCCAGCCTTTGTTTGAAAGCAAGTTGCAACCAGGCTGATTAGGCTGATTGTAAATACTTGAACATTTTTTATATATAAAAAAGAAAATTAGCCTGTTATAAACTCTTAGTCATTAGTGTTTTATTAGCTGAGCATAGTGAATCTTCAACACACAAGTTTTAGGTATTGCATGGCCTCCCACTGGATATCCCAAATTTGTAAATACAATTTTTACAAAATTCAGTACATGAATGCATTAGAAAAATTTTTGGTTTGTGTATGGAAATAAACCTTTGCAAAATTGCAGCTGATGCTTACACAGTTACTGTTGTAAGCTCTACATCCATAGAGTTATTGAATATTTGTACGTGTAGATTAGTTTTACCCGCATTCAGCAATGTTTCAGTTTCTAGTTGTGACACTGAGCCATTGCTGTAGATTTGGCTGCTTCACTGACAGATGTTTATGCTAGCATTGTAATAGAGTGGATAAATTTGTATCAGCTTTTCAAAGCAAAGCAGTATATAGAAAATACTTCTTGAAGGGATATAATCAACAGTAAATGTTACTTTTCAGGTCCTTACAGGAGTTGCTGGAGAAGATGCAGAATGTCATGCAGCAAAGCTGTTAGAAGTAATTATTCTTCAGTGTAAAGGGCGTGGCATCGATCAGGTTGGTAACAACTTTGGTTGCTACAACTGATATTTTAAGAAGATTTTATTCTCAAATATGAATTGATTATGTATTAACGTGAGTTCTGTTCCGAGAAGTTTGTGTAGTGTGACTAATAATCCTGTCTTCTACTTCAATGTTACTCATTTAACAGCACTGCAGAGAGGGTTAGAGGGTTATTGTACGCTGTCTCCAGAATTTAGGACACTGCAAAACTCAAGTGTTTTCATGAATCTGGAAGAATACTGTTTTAGGGGTATCTTGGTTCTAAAAGTCAATTAATTATATTCTAAGTTAATTCTAGTGAATATTTCATGAAAATTATTCAATCTGTCAAGTTAATAGCCTTGAAATAAATAAGAATGAAAATGAAGTTCCTAGAATGCCAGTTAATGCCATAGAGGAACCAGGGTCGTCTTTATGCACATACGAAAGTTGGAATTTGAGAGATGAATTTGTGTGCTTCTGCTGTGTACATGACAAGCAGTATATAATAGCTGTTTAAACATTTTTTGCACGCTTTTTAATACTTATGGATATGGTCCCTGGAAACTTGAATTTTTAATTTATTTCAAAGAAAATCTTCTGTAGCAAATTTTTTTTTTCAGTGTGGCATCTCTGAAGAGACTACTCCTTTGAATAGCTGTTTTCTTGGAATGTTAGTAATAGCTCTTGACTTTGTTGTGGATATTAAAAAAGACTAAGTTGGTTTTTTCTGGACTTCCTAGTGTACACATTTCCTCTGTTTTTCATTTTTAAAACACAAGATTATAGAACCAGGAATTACATCTACTGTGCATGATGTCAGAAAATCCCTGTGCTCAGAGTAGATTAAATTTTTTCACCTTTTCATTTCATCTTCGTGTATGACCTCTGCTGGCAGTTAAAAATTATTCCCATTTTATGCCCTCTGTATTTATGTGCCAGACTGGTTTTATGCCATTTCTCAACTTTACTGTGAAATACAGAACTACAAAATTTATTTTGGTAACTAAATTTGTAATGGTCTCACTCTTCAGTGCATACCTTTATTTGTGGAAGCTGCGTTAGAGAGATTGACCAGAGAAGTGAAAACAAGTGAACTGCGAACAATGTGCCTCCAGGTTGCCATAGCTGCTTTGTATTACAATCCTCATTTACTATTAAATACATTGGAAAATCTTCGTTTTCCCAATAATGTGGAGCCTGTCACTAATCACTTCATAACACAGTGGCTTAATGACGTGGACTGTTTCTTGGGGTAAGTGTTTCTAATTTTGAAGATTCTTCTCTGTGATACACCTCTGTATTACCTGCTTGTAATCATAACAAAACTTGCAACTTTTTTACTCTTTTGTTTTGTAGACTTCATGATAGAAAGATGTGTGTGCTTGGCTTGTGTGCTCTTATTGATCTGGAGCAAATACCACAGGTTTTAAATCAAGTTGCTGGCCAGATCCTGCCAGCTTTTATCCTTTTATTTAATGGATTGAAAAGAGCATATGCCTGTCATGCAGAGCATGAAAATGACAGCGATGATGATGATGAAGCTGAAGAAGATGAGGAAACAGGTATGGACACTGAAACATCGCTGTTACTTTGTATTTCTCATTTTTTCTGATGGAGATTCTGAGTTCCTTTGTGGAATTGTTCAGAGTTCCCTAATTCAAAAAATCAAAAGCTGCAGTAGAACACTGGGTATCTTTTAATGACTTTGAAGTATATCTGACTTACTTTCCGGTCCCTCTTAAAAACTAACTTCCTAGGCTGTCTCTTCAAAGTCACATCAAGCTAGCTTTTTGTGTGTGGATGCTGTCGTTGCTGAAAGGAATTATTATTGGGGCATGTTTCCCATTTGAGTGAGGGGTAAGAGTCAGTAAAAGGAGTTTGCAGGAATCCTTCTAATCCATTGTACAGTTTGGACTATATATTACAAACTGTCCCATGAGCTGCTGGTGTTTTAGCTGTGTATTGAAAATGACAGTTCTTGTTATATTTTTTTTTTCCTGGACTAATGTGATCTCAACTTCATCAGCCTTTATAGACTTTCTTCTTCATACAGTCATTTCACAAACTTTCACATCTTTTGCCATATTCTTCATATGAAGTTCAAAATTACCTACAATTTCCCATATACTTCTTTCTTCCACCTTTCCCTATACTCTGCTTAAGCTTTTAGTTCTTGTTCCCTATTTTTATCTTTCTGTCATCAGCCTGGTGTCTTTGAGTGTGGAAAACCGTTCCAAACAATCACTCACAAAGGAGTATCTGTTGGTTTTCATCTATCTACTTAAAGCCCAGTTTCTTTTTGATCTCTGCTGTTGAATTCTGGACTCTCCAGACTGTTGTCATTATACATCATTCATACTATTACATTTTTTATTTCTCAAGCATTCTTTTCAACAGCCCTTTTGAATGTGCCTTTAAAAGTGTTTTCATCAAATTATTTCAAACTTTCTTTGGAGCACGAATATTGCTTTGCTTAAGGTTTTATCAAGTGCTGTTCCAAACTATCGGTATATACATTTTTGTGACAGAGAAATTTTCCTTTCCCACTTACACAGTTGGTGTAAGTGAGGGAAGAGTGTCTGGGGGGGGAAGACCATGGCACTAGGAGAGGAGTTAAATGAGCTTCCCCCTTTCTAGTCTGCACTATACCGTTATCAGTTCTATTGCCTGTTTTGCATAATCAGCCACCTACCTAAAGAGTTGTTCTTGCTATTCTTGAGATAAACTTTTTGTGTGTGATATTTATCTCAGAGGAATTGGGGAGTGATGAAGATGACATTGATGAAGATGGTCAAGAATATCTAGAAATTCTAGCAAAACAGGCAGGTGAAGATGGAGATGATGAAGACTGGGAAGAAGATGATGCTGAAGAGACTGCTTTGGAAGGCTATTCCACAATTATTGATGATGAAGACAACCCTATTGATGAATATCAGATATTTAAAACAATTTTTCAGAGTAAGTAACTTTATTTCCTTTCCTGGCCAACAAGTTGTTATTTTAACTTAATTTTAGTTAAATTAGAACCTGTTGAAAGCTTCCAAACAGGCTTTCCAATATGAGCTTTGAACAAGTTCCTTCTTTGGAAAAGGGAAGCCGACTGCTGTGGTTTAACCCGGCAGGCAGCTAAACACCACAAAGCCGTTTGCTCACTCCCCCCCCTCCCCGTGGGATGGGGGAGAGAATCGGGGAAAAAAAGTAAAATTCGTGGGTTAAGATAAAGACAGTTTAATAAGACAGAAAAGGAAGGGAAAATAATAATGATGATGATGATTTTGGACATGAGGAAAAATCTCTTTACCGAAAGAGTGGTTAAACATTGGAACAGGCTGCCCAGGGAAGTGGTTGAGTCCCCATCCCTGGAGGTATTTAAAAGACGTGTAGATAAGTGATGCACAATGCAATTGCTCACCACCTGCCAACCAGTGCTCAGCCAGTTCCCAAGCAGCAGTCACCGCCCCCCCGGCCAAGTCCCCCCAGTTTATATACTGAGCATGACGTCATATGGTATGGAATATCGCTTTGGCCAGTTTGTCAGCTGTCCTGGCTGTGCCCCCTCCCAGCTTCTCGCTGGCAGGGCATGGGAAGCTGAAAAGTCCTTGACTAGTGTAAGCACTACTTAGCAACAACTAAAACATCAGTGTGTTATCAACATTATTCTCATCCTAAATCCAAAACACAGCACTGTACCAGCTACTAGGAAGGACATTAACTCTATCCCAGCCGAAACCAGGACACCGATATTAAACTTTCAGAGCAGGGGGAGATGCTTGAATGAATTTATGGTGGGATGGAAGAGGTCAGAGGTTGTATTAGTGTTTTTAAATGTCTTGAATTATGTAACCCTAACAGAGTATTATTCTGATTAAAATGGTAGTGAGTTAGTAAGCTTTGAGTTACAGAACGTTTTAATGAATACTTTCCTTTTGCTTATGTTTTCTTTCTCTTGCAGCAATTCAGAATCGTAACCCTGTGTGGTACCAAGCTTTGACACAGGGTCTTAATGAAGAACAAAGAAAACAATTGCAGGACATAGCAACTCTGGCAGACCAGAGGCGGGCAGCACATGGTATTTTTCCTCCTTTATACCATTAATTGCTTCTTTCACTGTTTGAATGCTGTTTATGTGCTCAAGAAGCATAATACAGAAAATGCCTATAATCCAAGCCTGATAATGTTTTCATCAAAGCAGGGTTGTTTTACACTCCAGAGATGTTCGAAATCTCTTTAAGATTGTCAGGTCACAAAGCCTCAATGCACAAATTGTATGGCGTACCACAGGTGTAAGGAATGATAGAAATGTCTTAATGAAGTGGCCAAGTAAATAAAAGCATATTTGTCATAATTGCTTGGATCTGAAAACAATTGATTTGATTACCTGAAGGTGGATGAACTCTAGGTATGGTAACAAACACATTAAGTGGCTGACAAATTATTTTCTGATGTGACCTAGTCCAGCTAGGACAGACAATAATTCTATGGGTGGGAAACTACCAAATTATGGAATTAGTATCCATCTGTAAAGCTACATTTTTAAGCCTGTTAAATATTTCAGATTGTTATTCCTCAATACAGATCATACAGATCTAAAAATATAGGAAGTGGGCAGATCTTCAGTTTTCTTCTTTTTTTTGCACGCTTTCCCAGGTGTTTGAGAGTAAACCAATATATATTGCTCCCTAAAGTCAAGGCTGAAGTTTGAGTGATCAGTCCAGTCTCACATCCTGCATGTTATTGAGCAATTACTACAAGATGTTTCAAAATAGAAGTTCAGAAATCTTTCAATAAAAAGATTGGTAGTAAGAATGCACATTTTAGAAGTAGTTTTTGTCAGAAAACAGCCGAAATTACCTCACAAAGCTTTAAGTGTCCAGAATCGTCCACTTTTAATGGTTATAAAATACAGTTTCACTGTGACCCCTGTCAAGCACTAGGCATTGTACTGATGAGATTATATTCTACTTGTGCATTTTATAAGAAAGAATGGGGTTTTTTGGGTTCTTTTTAGCTGCTTATTCATAGAGCAAGTTAGGTTCAGATTTTGAAGTTTAACTTGAGCAACTAGATCCTTACAGGAAATTCTTGCGTACTATCAGAGCATACTGATATTCCATTTAGGCTACCTACCACACATGGGGACATCCTGTTAGAAGGATTTGGAATATAATTATCTCTCATTAATGTAGCTAAGCAGAATTTCCATAAGCTAAGAGATTTGTCTTCTGTGCACTGTGGAGCTAGGAGGGAACAAAGTGATGGCTCCCCAGGTCATGTTCTCCTTCATCAGCCATGGCAACATTTTTCTGGCCTGTTTCCAAAGAAACAGACAAAATGCAGATCCTCTAGATAATATGAGCTGTCCTGTATTTCCAGAAAGAGAGAGATTGCAACTACTTTGAGGTAGGAGAAAGCTCTTAGACTGGAAATGAGACATTAATAAGCATTGTTATCTTGAGCTGGGAATAATATAAGCCGTCTTCTGCATTATCTAGATTGTAGTAAAGGTAGATAGAAATACACATTTCTATCTGCTCTTTACCAACCTAATTTTCAGTTGTCCATGCATTGGAGCTTGTAAAAACCAGTCTTACCATAATCTTCAAAGGACGGAATATGCAGCTAGTAAAACCAGACAGCTTCACTATCACTGTTAGTTACGGTGATGGATATGTGGACCTCAGATGCCTAAAGATCTTAAGGTTTGGTTGAAAATGAAAAGTGATAAACTTGGTAGTTTTCTCTCAGAATTATATTATATGGTCTAGTAGCCTAAACTCCGAATTGTCTGCTTGAGTATGGCGGGGAAATGTGTGTATACTAAAAAGTCTCTTTCTGGTGCTTCAGTGGCTATTTCTGCTTATATGGTTGAATTGAGATAGGAACACTGAAAACCTTGCTACTATCTGTGTACTGCTTTTTTGTACATGTGCTCTGTTACTGATTTGACTGAAAAGTCTATTAATGTTAATCAGAAAGAATTGGGCACCCATTAGCAAGTTCTGAAGTCCAGCATTCATTCAGGTCCTGTTTCTGAAATGTGAAAATTACATATTCATGTCCAAAAGCTAAAGTGTGGGCTTTTTCAAATATAAATTCATTTAAGCATAGCTACAACAATATTGAGAAATTAAAATAAATAAATAAATAATCAGTCCATCTGCGTTTTGGGGCCTGGCACATTTCCACTTTGTGGGTGCTGATTACTTTCTTGGGTAACCCCAGGTTAAACCTCTATCTCAGAGAGACTCAAAATGGTCAGTCACAAAATCTTAATCTGTTTTCCCCCCTACACACACACTAAAATACCTTCCTTCTGTTTTTTTTGTTTTGTTTTAGAATCCAAAATGATTGAAAAGCATGGAGGATACAAATTCAATGCTCCAGTTGTGCCAACTTCATTTAATTTTGGAGGCCCTGCCCCGGGAATGAATTGAATTATCACTTTTCCTGCTACTGTGTGATTGTAGTGAAGAGCTTGTGTTCCTCCCAATAGTGGTTCCAGAACTGGTTCATGTTATCTACAACTCACTCTAAACTAATTGATAAATAGATTGGACAAAAGCCCCAGAAGTGGGACCTTATCATGCAACCTAATACTGGAAAGCAAACCAGAGGGTTTTTTGAAGATAGGAAGAATCTGAATTTAAAGCTTCAAATGACACACTTTGGAAATCGGAAATCAAGAGGGGATGTCATGAAGGCAGCTTTTCTTTTTCTGAGGAAAAAAAATAGGCATGGGCTGCAGGACTATTTAAAACGTCTCATTTACAGGACAAGCTAGAAGGCAGACTTAATTTTTACACCTGTGGCGGTATGAGTATTTGCCCAATTTATTTCCCTTTTCTCCCTTCCTATTGGGTGTCTATTCTTTTAATGTAAATAAGCTAAGGTAATCAGATAGCCTTACTTAATCTTCATCATTTCCATTTATCAAGATTGTTCATATGTAGAATATTGGACACTTAATGTAGCACTACATAACTGATAAATCTGTAAATGAATTAGCACTTTCATATTGAAACAAGCCTGCTAGCCTATGTACAAAAATAGCAAAATGTTTGCTGTTTATAAAAAATAAAAATAAAAAATAAGGGATGTATTGGGGAAAATAATTTCAAGTTATTAATTTAAAATGAACTAGCAGTTTTGTACCTGGTGACTTTGTGGTGCAGTCACCTCTGGTTGTGACTTGAATTCGGTTATGTAAAAAGGGGTCTGTGATATTTCATTGCTGCTAAAAAAAAAAAACAAACTACCCTCCGTGTCCTTTGTTTTTCTTAAAGATCTCACTGTACAAGGTGAAATTTGGATACAAATGTGTACTGTAAGCACTGAGGAAAAAGTTATCTTCTCTAAAGCAGGTAAATAGTGAAGTTCTGCTCTTAAGAGTCGATTGAAGTGTGTGGATGAAACATCTATATATGCAATCTATTAAAAACACAACAATTTAATTTGGCTAATCTGGGCTATGATCTATGAATGCAATTTTTTCCCCTAATTTTGCAAAATATTCTTTTTCCAGCACATGGTAGTGCAGGTGCACTTTCCAGCACGTGGTAGTGCAGGTGCACTACTGTTGCATTTCATTCCCCCTCTTTTTGCACTCCGAGCATTAGTGTGTGCTGTTGTCTGCTTGATCCAGACAAGTGTATTTGAAGTTTTGCCAATCTTTCATTTCTGAAGCCACAATTTTCTTCCTTCAAAGTTGCTATAGTAACTAGTATTTTAGCTAGAGAGGCAAAATACAGTTCCCTCTGGGACCACTATGAAAACCACTGTATGAAGAAGCCAGCAGGGAGATGCTGTGAATGGGTTGGCTTAAATGCCCCCTTTTTCTTTTCTAAAAGCAAAAATCCATAGGTTTTTGATCTTGCCTTGAGATCATTGGTGTCAGGTCTTTTAAATCAAATGTTTTTTTTTCTTTTGGCTGTTTTTATATAAAAATGTCACCTGCTGTTACAATTGATAATAAACAAGCTACCTTAATTTAATGTAAGCCTCCAAAATTTAAATAACAGGTTAAAAACTGAGTTTATATCTGTAAAAATGAAATGCACATATATATATTATGATACTCAAAATGCAGTCTTCAGAAAATTGGTTTGTGTGGTGTGGTTTTTTGCATCAGCAGAGTAGCAGGAATTCGTGGTTTGGGGTTTCCTTGACAAGCTGACCAGCACCATGCTCTGCCTTCCATTTGTTGCACAACCGCTAGCGTTTCTCTGGGCAGGTGTAATGGGTTTTTCCAGGCACTCCTCTCTGGTCTGCCTTTCTTTGGCAAATACAATTCCCTGTGCACAGAGTGCTAATGTGAAAGACTGAGCCAGGACTATAATGCCACGTTGCCCTAGCCGAATACCAAAGGGATACTTTAAAAGCAAATTGTGGACTTAAAAGGGTGGATATTGCATCTGATGTGAAAAAGCCTAAAAAATTAAGCCTTGAATCAGAGTATCCATTATAGTAGTGGTATGAGAACCACGGTAGTACTTTTGAATCTTTAGCTAACCGGCCAAGTACATATAGCAGAACTGTTTTTTTGGTAACTGTGTAACTCATGAGCATGTACAGGTGTACTCTGGCCTCAAGATAATCTCTAGACAAGGTTTTATTTTTGTAGAAAAAGGTGACAGACATAATTACAGCATGCCTCTTCCTGTGCATTCCTTGACCTTGAAAAATGCCCAGTTTGACGTAAATAATTTCTGAACATCTGCTTGTTTGGGTATCTGCTTATCTTGTTATGCATCCCAAAAAATGCAGGAGAACCTTTTAGGACAGATGAGACGTTTTTGCCTCATGGCAGAAGAGACGACAGAGCAGCAGTGAGAAGGCTCTATATACAAAGCAGATGAAAAAAATGAGGGGAAAATCACCAATTTAGTGCCATTGTCATTTCTGGAACAGTTATATTTTTCAAGTCACAAGTCAAGGGAAGAATTTTATCTTGGTGTGAGGAATACAGTCTTTCTTCAAGGGTGCTTTTATGTGTTGCTAGACTGGTTAGCAAGGAGCATCTTTTTTAAGAATGGATCTAGAACTTTGCTTTCCTTTGCTCCAAGAAATGTATTTATATAAATTGCAAAACAATTTTGCATTGTTGTTGGTGGTGATAGTGCATTTTGTGATGCAATATATCAATTTCAGTGATACACTTATGTCAAATTTAAAATTGATCTTCCTCCTAGAACTTGCACTTATCTATTCCATTTTCAAGGATAATGCAACTCTAAAGGAAGAGCTGGGAAATTGAAAGCCTCTGTTTTTTCTATTATGGAAGATCTCCTTGGATTAATAAACATCTAAAGCAAATCCTTACCTTCACTTATTTCAGTGTGGTGTTTTGAATGTAGCTGTACTCTTACAGTACTTGGGAGTCCCGTTCTAGTTACATAGCTCTAAGGTTTGTATTTTCCTCTCTAAAATATTTCTTCAAGCAGAAATGTTAGGCGCAACCACAGTTCTCTTAACTGTTAAATACAAAAGGCTTATAGTATACACTTTTTTAAAATGTTGACATACTGGGTAAATTTAATACCCTTTTTTCCTAAATCACTATCTTAAAAGAATTATTAATAGGTGTCAGCATAGTACAGCAAAGCTCTGTTCAAATCTCTTGTAGCCTAGAATTACTACTGCAAGATTCAAGAAGTCTGCAGTGGATTAATTACAGAATACCCGACAATAAACATGCAGATGGTTTTAATTGTGCCTAGTAATTGATCCTGCTAAGTTTAATGGGTTAAGTTGTATTTTTCTAAAGGAAATTACCTCCTCTTGCGACTATCATTTCTCAACAGTAGGAACATCATGAAGCTTCTGAGCACATTTTATCTTTGCATGTTTCCGTCAAGTTCCCTTTCCATCCTTCCTCATACGTACTTTCTCTTGCTAACCATTTTCACTTCCTGGGCCTCAATTTGTCCCCCTGTAACTCCCTTGAGATGCTGCTCAGAAACTGTAAGCACTTTGTACTTAAGTAGTTCATGCTGTAGGCAGTCATACCCCTGCTGATGCCCTGTGTGTGTGTATTCAACACCAAAATACACGGCTGCATCCTTCTCTGTTTTCAGCAATGGGACTGGTGCTTGCTGATGGCTCCAAGCAATGCAGCTGAGGGAACAGCTCCTCAGTGGGTGCTGCAGGCTCCCGGGGGAAGGATGTGGTTCCAAAGTCAGTATTAGTGGCAGACCCAGCGTTGTCTACGTATGGGTTTGATTTAAAAGATGTGGTCAAGTTCAGGTAATGCTGGTCCAGGCTTTGTATGTTGGTAAAGACTTTACCAGTCTTCCATGACTTGGGCTACTACTTAAGTTTTTATCTTTGGTATATGATCAGCAGTGGATGAACACTGCTTCTGAAAATCTATACAGAAGTGGGCATCTGGTTTATTTTACAAAATGTAGTTGAGAAGAGCACTACAATTGTGAATTTCTGCTCAATCCACTATTCAAGTTTTAACCTGAATGCAGTAGTAAAAAAGAAAAAAAAAGGTTTATCAAAATTTGATAAAAGCTTGGAAGGTCCAAGGGTCTCTATATTATGCTGTTATGGACTCTTAAAAGCCAGAGTGGAGTCCCTTGAGCTGGGTTTTTCTCCTCCCTGTGCTCTGTGGGACTTTCCATATACCCAGAACCAGGAATGTGGAAAAGCTTCATTGGTCTGGTGTTGTGGCACGGATTATAAATTACTTTGCAATCAATCTGTAGTTTATTTAAATGCTGTATCATTGGTTTGCATATTTCTGCTTTTTATAACCATTCCTAGACGTTGATGCTAGAAACAGAAGGCACGTCAGAATGGGAAATACTGAGTTGTAAGATTTGACAGAGATGTTAACAAGTAATCTATTAATATAAAGGAGTTGGTAAACCCAAAACACAAGTTTTTATCTTGGGTATTTCACTGTTACTGTACCTCAAATCAAACTGATGGCTATAATTTGTATTTTGGGTGAAAGTTTCCTATTAAGAAACAGGAAGGAAAACTTGAAACTAAGAAAGGAAAAATGCTCTGTATTAGGCCTATTAAGGAGTAAGTTATTTTTGGCTGTTTGTATGACTGCAAGAATCTAGAAGTATTATTCTGGAGTTTCAGGCAAAAAAATCTTAAATTCTTTTATAGGTCATGTTCAGAAATGTCAAGTAAGCCCCATAAAACAGGGCGAGTGTCCTGTTGATGGTGATAGCTCATGTTAATTACACAGTTGGGGTTTCTTGAAAAATCATCTACTTAAGTAACTGTAATACCCTTTAATTGCCAGAGGAGCTGTTGTTGGACTATTTTATGTTTCCATACCAAAAAATCACCTAAGGACAAATATTCTCAAGCATAGCTTTAAAAACAGAGTCCTTATCCATAAAAGCTGGGCTGAAATAGCAGAAGATAACGAGACTGGGGAAGGACAGGGTGCTGACTCCCCCCAGGCCTGCCTGCACGGCCCTGCCCCGAGCAGCCCCTCCGCAAGGGCACCGCGCCCCTGCACCCTTCCAGCGGTCTCCCTCCGGCTCC